GAAATCGGCTTAGGGTTTCGGGGTTTAGGGTTTAGGGGTTTAGGGTTTAGGGTTTGGGGTTTAGGGGTTTAGGGTTTAGGGTTTAGGGTTTAGGGCTTTAGGGTCTGCCGCCTACAGAGAACCTCTGTTAAACCCAAACCCTCAAGCCCAAGCCCCCAAAGCGCCACGGCCCGAAGCCCCAAAAGCCGATGAGCCCCGTCAGGCCTTCAAGACTCGGCGAAGTTCACCGGTGTCCTTGGATGTAGGTCATGTGCGTGCTTTGACACTGAAATGTGGAAGGATTCTTCGGCGGCAGGTGCGAGGGTGGGGAGGCTTAAGGGTGTAGAAGAGTCGAAACACTAGCCTTCCTATCCCTCCAGTTCCACCACCTCCTGGGAACAGAACTGTTGATGCTCTATCCTGGCATGCCATGCACATACCTCAAGCACAGCTTGCTTCGTTTCGCTCTCAGACTCCTACTGTTCACCCAACGACACTAGAGCCCTGAAATCTCGCGAAATCAAGCCCAAAACGTCTGAGGACTGCCCTCTGGACCACCAAACATCCGACCCTGGAATCCCCGAAACGAAGACGGGAAGACGAGAGGCAATCCAGCCGGAGCTGTCTTCGTCCCAGGCCTTAAACGCCTGCATTCAGCGCTGCCGAACGGACGGGTAATTTTTGACAATTTCGGGGCTCCTCGATCCTAAACCCTAAACCCTAAACCATAAACCCTAAACGGCGAATCGCGTCACGAGCTATTGGCCTTCCGAGCTTCAGGCTCAAACGCGGACCCTTCGATCCTTCAATCAGAATTTCCCAAACCAGGCAAACAAGAGCTGTCGAAGATACGAAAAGGTTCTATAATGGGTACGGAAAGAGTTACTTAAAGGGTTTTAAATAGGGCTATAAGGGGCACCGAAAGGGTTACTTCATGGGTTTTAATATAGGGCTATAATGGGCACGGAAAGGGTTACTTCAAGGGTTCAATATAGGGGCTTTCCTGGTCGGAGTAGAGGTTCAGGTAATTTTAAACCCTAAACCCTAAACCCTTAACCCTAAACCCTAAACCCTAAACCCTAAACCCTAAACCCTTAACCCTAAACCCTAACCGGTTTAATATAGAAGCTTTCCTGGTCGGAATAGAGGTTCAGGTGCATCTGCGCTCCCGACTTGGGGGTTTCCAAAAATAGGGCCTAATATACCCTAAATAGTAGGATCCTTATTATACGGACCCCAAAATAGGGTACCCGTTTTTAGGGTTTAGGGTTTAGGGTTTAGGGTTTAGGGTTTCGGAAACTCCCCCCTTTTGCTTTGCTGCAAGTCGCGCTCGCGGAGCGATCGGCGTGTTTGCCTCTGCGGCCGTGAGTGCACGATGTCCATAGATGCAACCGACTCTTGTTGGTTTAGGGTTTGGGGTTTAGGGTTTAGGGTTAGGGTTTAGGGTTTAGGGTTTAGGGTTTAGGGTAGATATATGCATATTTTACTGTCTACACAGTTGATTGTTAAGAGACTAAACGAACACCAACAGATGGAGTTATTAGGGAGTTGAAATACATGACGCATACCAAGATACGGCCTCTATTATTAGGGGCTCCTTGTTACAAATATGGTCTAATATACCCCCGAAACCCTATTCTAACATCAGGGTCTAGGGTTCAGGGTTCAGGGTTTAGGGTTTAGGGTTTAGGGTTTAGGGTATACTGCCTATATCAGGGTCAACCTCGCTCCAAGGAGCTGCAGGTGGTCGCCGACCCGAAACTCCGAGCCCGGAGATGCTCGGAGCCGAAGCCCCCAAAAAAGCAGGCACCCGCTGGACCCTAGCAAACGGACACCAAAAAACAAAGGGTTTAGGGTTTAGGGTTTAGGGGTTTAGGGGTTTAGGGTCTAGGGGACTCAAAGTACACAACGTTTTGTTGCAAGAGGATTGCAAGATATGTGCCCGGCATTCGCTGATCAGGATAACTCCTTAACCCGAAACCCCCAACCCCAAACCCTAAACCCTAAACCCTAAACCCTAAACCCTAAACCCTAAACCACTCCTTAACCCGAAACCCCCAACCCCAAACCCTAAACCCCAAACCCTAAAGCGATATGCGGGCTCTCATGGGCCCCGGAGTTGACACTCGACGACGGAATTCTACGAATTGGAGCCATCAGACTTGGAACCTGCAACATGAATCATTCTGAAGTTCAGGCTCTAAAATTGGGGCCCAAATGATTATCTACACTATTTTGGGGGCTCCTTATTTGAATTATAGTATAATGGGCCCCAAAACCCTATTCTAATTATTAAGGCCCCTATACCAGCCTATCGAGGTTTGGGGTTTAGGGTTCCTTTATGGGTCCCTTTGAAGGTTCAGGGTTTTAGGGTTCCTTTAAGGATCCCTTTGAGGGTTCAGGGTTTTAGGGTTCCTTTGAGGGTTTGGGGATTTGGGTTTCGGTCCCAAGTCTGCTCGCCCGTAGACTCAGACCGGCACTCGAGGGAAGCCAGGTTCCACAACGCTCGCAGGCTTCGGTTTAGGGTTTAGGGTTTAGGGTTTAGGGTTCAGGGTTTAGGGTTTAGGGTGTAGGGTTTAGGGTTTAGGGTTTAGGGTTTAGGGTTTAGGGTTTGGGATTCCCTACACCCGAAACCCCAAACCCTAAATACTAAACCCCGAAAGCCCTACCCTAAACCCTAAACCCAAAGCCCCCAAAAGCCCTACCCTAAACCCTAAACCCTTTTCTTACACAGGCCTGATTGGAGCTCGCCCGGCCAACCCTAAACCCTAAACCCTTACAGTCCTAAACCCCTAAACCCTAAACCCCGAAAGCCTGAAACCCCTCGAGTTTCCAGGGCTTTGGCCTTAGGAACTCGAGGGGTTCAGGAGTTCGAAGGCTTAGGCCTTGGGCTTGGGATTCAAGCTTCCGGGTCTGCTGTTGAGAATGCTGGTTTGGGGGCTGGGGCTACGGAGTTTAGGGTTTGGGGTTTAGGGCTGGCTTGGGGTTTGGGGCTAAGGAGTTTAGGGTTTAGGGTTTAGGGCCGGTTTGGGGTTTGGGGTTTGGGGCTAAGGAGTTTAGGGTTTAGACTTGAGGGTTTTAACGGTTTGGGGTCAAGGAGTTGAGGGTGATTCAGGGCCCAGGGTCGCTTTTGAAATCCGGGAGGCCGATGGTGTTCTGTCCCAAGAGCGCTTCTTCCTCACCCTACCCCAGAGAGCAAACCCCAAAGCACCAAATCCTGACAAACCCAGCCCTCATAACCCGGAAACCAAAACTGGCCCTAAACCCTAAACC